AAAAAAATGTTGTATATTAAAATTACTTTAGTCTAAAGAAGGCTTTTCAATTGCACTGTACAAATGAATAGTCTTTGGAGCCGAATTTCACTTTATTTACGAGGTTGCCACTGACTCTCTCCGCCGCTGATCTTCATGCCGCGTGTTGATGATGGTGGAAAGGCAGGGGTGCGATGGTCATTTTAGTCTGTAGGGTTTCGAACGGGTTGGGTGGGTTAGCGACTTTCATTTCCTTTCTTTGTGAGCTGCGATGGCACTCGGTGAAAGCATGCTGTCGGGAGAGCGAGCGAGCGAGCAGAGAAGAGAGACAGGGAGAGAGATAGAGATTTGGTGAGAGCAAGGCGTGCGGCTTGCAGGCAGACAGAGTCACAGGGGGTGTACGATTCGAGGGAGGGAAGGGGGTTGGTTTCGAAAGCTCTACCTAGGGTTGTTCCTGCAAGATTTCAACAACGTTTTCCCTCTTCTCCACTATTTTCCTTCATTCCTTTTTCTCTGAACCAGAAAATTAGATTCCTCTTCTGGAGTCTCTCCCAGTGTGGAACCCCCGCCACCACCAGCTGCCACAGCTGCGTCAAAGGTTTGCGTGTTGAATTTCACATCAACGGCATCTCCCTATAACCTAGGAGCTTGGTTCGGATCGGGCGATTCCGGAGGCCCTGCCATCGAGGTTAGTCTGAAGCGATTCCTATCTTATTGACTTATTGCATGTCAAAATCTGCTTCAAATTTGTGATTTAATATAATTGGGCTTTAGAAACAAATTCGTGATTTTGTCTAATCCAATTGAATGATTAGAAAAATTTTCATTAAATTTCTGGGTTCCGGGGGGTTCTGAATCGTGATGTTGAGAGAGCTTGGTTGCTTTAATTGCTAATGAAATTAGCTTCTAAACGTTCATAATTTGCCTTTTTTATGTTCATTCTATATTTTCTTTGAGTTCAGATATATATATATATATATATATATATATATGTATATATATATATATTTTGTGATATATTGCCGATGCCAAAATATCATATTTACAAGGACAAAGATAGCAAGGTTCTAAATCAATTTTTTTATCCTGGTTCTGCTGCTGGGTTCACTATCAGTAAAAGGCACATGAAATATGGTATTGATTTCAGAGCCTTTGATTTCTCAGAATGTCTTCGTATATCGAATGTCATCTGAATTTAGTTGTAGTTAATTTGTCAAAGTTTGTTGTTGTTTAGCTTTTTCAAATGGCAGTCTTAGTATTTGCCCAGTATTTTTTGTGAATTCCAAACTTTGCTTATAATTGTAGGTATGTAAAAGCTGCCAATTGGATTTGTTCCCCAGATGATAATGGCATACTAATATAATGGTTGTTCTTTTGCTTTGATGTACGAGTAAGAAGATTGTTTTGCCCCTTTTGTATCCTGCTTCTTTCTGTTCCACGAAGTTGCCAAGAAAAAAAGTACTTCGTGATCGTTTTCTTTCTTATGGTGATGTGTAGATAAAATCTGTCTGTTTTTCTTTGTATCAGCAACCTATTACCCATTCATGAGCATGTTCAGTTAAGAAACTTTTGATTTTTCTTCTGTTTAATTTCTCATCTGATAGGTTAAATATTAATAGAGTCCAATTAACATCCATATTGGAATGACAATCAAGAAATGCAATGACATACTTCTGATTCCATCCTCATTAAGTGTCTTAGTAACGATCAAGAATTGAATTACATGTTTCTCATTGTTTGTCTCTGTTACAGATCTACAAAGGATGATGAAAGCATTTCGTCACTGATCTTTGGAGAAACAGAGGCATGCATATAAAAGATGTAATTACCTAGAACCTTTGTTTCAGTTGAAGCATGTCATCAAAGAGAGTAGTCAATTAACAGTTGCCAATTGATATTAGGTCTTAAATATAATTTTAGCTTTCAGATATGTGATGGCAGCAATAGTACATATATTTTCAATTTAAACAACATCCTATATATTTTCATACTGGATGTTGTCTGGGTAACCTCAAACAGATATGTTAAACATTTTTTTTCTAATTTGTTGTAGTGTTTCCATTTTTTGGTGCAGAGCTCCACGATTGGCTAGCGTGAATCATGGTATCTTCATATGCATGCAATGTTCAGGGATCCACACGAGTCTTGGGGTAAAAACTTCAAATTCATTTTTTTATTTGTATGGTACTCAATTCCATATTTTATGTGTTATGCTAATGAGTTTTGGTTCTATTTTTCCCTGCATTATCCTGATGATTTGGATGCTTTTGTAGGTGAGAACTGCCACTTTGGATACATTGCTCCCAGAGCAGGTTGCATATATCCAATGTAAGTACCAATGCTGTTTTACCGGCTTCTTTCCATTCTGGTAGTAAGGTTATATCTCTGTCAGGCAAGGTTGCACTGAGAGTGAGAACACCAAGGGCACACTCTCTTTCTCTTACCCTCACTGACCCACATTAAAAAAGAGGCACATTATGTTTGCACCCTATTTTCGCATCTCTCTGTAAATTTAACTATTTTTTACCTAGCTTTTTTATCCGTTAAGCTTTCATCTTGCTGTAAATTTAGGTGTTTTCTATCTGGGTTGGTCTATCTGCTTATACTTTTCAAATGTTGGTTCATCTTATGTTACTTACCCAATGATAATTATCACAGGAGGAGAAGCAGAGGGCATTACTGCAAATGCAGTGGAGAGTTTTGGTAATAAGCCACAGGAGGACCAAGACGTGAATTCAAAGAAGGTTGGCTTTATAATAGATTACTCTCTCTCTCCCTCTCTCTCTCATATATCCACAAACACAGATTAAATTACTATAAGTTGTTTAGTTGCAGTTGATTGGATGTATTGGTTAATCTTAATTTTAGTCCACGTAAATTACTATGACTGTGGAAATTGAACTAAAAAGTACATTTCTTTTTTAAAATTGAATTTTTTTTTTCTTACCAGGAAATAGGTGGTTATAAATTTACTCCACTAATAAAGAATTTGTTAAATTAATATAAGCTATTTAAATGTTTAATTTCCATTTGAAAGCTTGGGGAGTTCTAGGTATGTTGTTTATTGAAGAAGCTCAGTCTCAAATCCCTCAAACGGTCTCTCAGTTACCACTTTGTTTTTGTAGGTTGTGGAACTTGATTTTCTCTATCCGTGTGAATTTGTGGCTTAGGTTATGTTTATCTGCTAAGTGTGTATTTTGGAAATGCTTATTTGATGAATGCACTGGTATAATTGATCAGTAAATTACTATGATCGGTGTGTTTCTGTGGAAGTGATTCATGAAGGTTCTGGATTACAGTTTTCAGGGTTAGATTTCTGAATCTATGGGATTTCCATATCAATTATCGTTTCAAAGGGTGAAAAAGAGTGAGGGATGACACGGGAAGAGGGGGGAAAGGGGACAAAAGAATGGTTTCTGCTACTTTCAATGCTTTGGGTTAAAAAAATAAAAAGGTTGATTTCTCTCACTTTGATTGAACTTTTCGTGTCTTAAGTTTCTCTTGCTATATCCATAGTGTGTATATTTCTTATCTATGTGTTTCTGATTCTGAGATTGTCTCTTTTACAGAGTATGTGGTGTGGAAGCACACCAGTGAGGGCTTACTTTCGATGTCGAACTCAAATGTGGCTGTAATCTAACCCCTCAAATTCCAGCATGGCATGTAGGAATGCTAACGTTTTCCTGTGTGATCTTCATACAAAGGTACGAAGAACTAACTATGTTTAGTTTAATGGCTTTTTATAAATTTTAGCCAAGTCCCCACATGAGGTTGATGTTATACATTTTTGGACTCCATTCTTAGAAAATTTTGGCATTTTCATCAAATGAGGTTCTTTCTGTTTTGGACTGTGTGGGTTAGAAGTATTAAGACACTAACGCTTGAGTGTTTGAAAATTAGGTGCAAGACATGAACTTTTAATCAAGAAGGACCTGATACGACTACTGTATTATTTTACTTATTGTGTAGTGCTTCAGAGAGAAGAGTAGAGACAATTAGTTCTCATTAGAGTAAGACTCTGTCACCGATTCAATGGATCATGTGCAATTCTTTCAGTCTGTTTAACTATTCAGATTCTTTTTCCTTTTTATTACACAATTATAGATTCAATATGATGTCATGTACTAAATTTATAAGACCTATGCCTTATCATTTCCAGAATAATGTGATTTCACTCGATTACACCAAATTGATTTGTTGTTTCCCAATTTGAAGTTGAGGAGTCAGATTGGTGGGAAGCAAATAAGAGGCACGTCGTCTTCTAATTGGGTTGTTGTCTTCTTTCTCCACTTCTGAATTTTTTGGGTTGAAGTTGTCATCTACTTCTTCTGGGATTTTTGGGGCCATATTTGCGCTTTCGTCCAAGAATTTGGTATTATTCCCTGTTTTTTAATTTTTTTTTTCTTTAGTTTGTGATGGATTTTTATTACGTCCAACTACAGATAATCTAGCGTGCTCAATTTTTCATGTGCCTTCAATTTCAGCTTTTCCTGAGTCTGAAATTATTGTCCTGAACTTTCTAAGCTTCTCTTTTTGAGTTCCTGTATTGGGAAGATTGTCTCTCTACAAATCCCACGCGAATGTATTTTTACGTATTCGGCGTACATAACTCAACATTCTCCCTTTTTTAATTTTTTTTTTTTAATATTTGCTTTAGCTTTATTTGAGAGATCATTGTTGTGTACTATAGTTGATGGAATTGATCTTTCTGGTTCTGCGCAGGTTCTCATTTGTAGATTGATTGGTAGGCCTTTGTGTCCAACTATTTTCAGCGGCTTCTACCATGAAACTCAGATACTCTCTTGGGTACATTACATATGAGTTTCAACTGCATATATGTATGTGGCTTTAGATTTGTTCAATAAATTGTAAGCCTTCATTTTAAAATCACTTTAGTCTAAAAGGAGTGAGAAATGAAGTTGGTCATATAGTATCTGAGCTTGGCCAACAAGCAGCTCCGGTTTGTTTTGAGATTTTTAATGGTGTGCTTGCTCTTGAATTGGCAAGGGATGGTCCGGCAGCTGCTCAATCAGCTCAGAGTCTTGGTTGATGAGTGCAAGAGGACCTTCCAGGTTTGTGATTTTCCATTGTTTTGTTATTAGGGTGCTTTGATTTGTTAGAAAACATAAGTTCAGTGTTCACATTCTTGCTTTGTGTATTTTTAATCTTTTCTAACTGACTACTATGTTCTGATTCATTATCCTGTTAGTTAACTCTATGTACTTTTGTGCAGCCCATGGGTAATGAAAAGGGAAACAGTTATTGGGAAAAAGAATTGCCACCAAATTTTGACAGAAGTGGGACGGAGAAATTTATTCGTGCCAAGTAAGTTATTTTCTAAAATTAATTATGAGCTTTATGTGGAACGTGGAGAATGTTCAGTTATTATTTCCTTCTGCTCTTTTAACTTTCTTGGGAACTTTCAGATATGAGGGAAAACTGTGGGTTGCCAAGAATGCAAAGCAACCGGTTCCTCTCTTAATTCTGATTTGTGAAGGAGCCCGTGCTTTTCCTCAAACCGTCGTTGTCTTACTTGATGAACGGCGGCACGATCGAAGTCCCTCACCCTCTGTTATTGTTGGACCATGAGGTGGTGGTGATCATCTCTCAGAAAGCTCGCAATGTTCACAATCCACCGCCATGGATTATGTTGCGGGTAAATTTGTAATCTTTGTTACTGTTATTTGTTAATTAATCACTTTTTATTTTATTTTTTGAAGGTCAGTTAATTAATCAGTTAATAGTGTTGCTGTTAATGATTTAGTTTAATTAATCAGTTAATAATGCTGCTGCTAATGATTTAGTTTTAATATAATGATGCTGTTAATGATTTGGTTTTAAGTTTAAATCTGATTAGCGAAAATCGGATGGTGTAAGGTTATGCACTTGCTTTGGATATGACTGCCAGAGAAATTCAAGCTTCTGCTAAGGTAATTATCAATAATCGGATTGTTTTGATGCGATCAAACACGGTGTGAAATGTTCAATTTTATGGCTACAAGTTTCTAAGTAGAATGCTAATGCTGCAGTTCATGAGAATCATATGTTCTGATTTAAACAGTTACTGCAAATGTATAGTTGCTTTGTGATGAATGAGTTATCTTTTGCATATAAGACTTTTCGTTTCTCGATACTAAGTCTAAAATAGAGATTTCAGAGCAAAACATTGATCCAGTATAAGCGAGTTGTGATTTTGTAGTGTATTTATGTTTCCAGATAAAATCTACAGAGATTAGACAGAGAAAAAGGGCAAAGGAAAGCTATGGTGACTCTCGAAAGATGGTTCAAGTCTCTGTTGGAGGTACATTGGATTTATGTTTATTATGTGTTTAGTACATTGTTTGGACTATAGATTTGGATTGAACTCAATGTTGTCCATGTATATAAATATATCTGCGTAAATATATTTTTGTGTGAATATATGTGTGCATATAGATTTATACATTGTTAGGACTAATAATGTTTGTGCTGTCGGGATTTTCGATTGGGATTGGGGGAGGGATGTTGGATAGCATCTTAATTTATTTGGGAGTTGATTTTTTCTTCTCTGTGAATCAGGATTGACAATTTCATTTTGCACAGGCCATACCGATTAAAGATGCTATGGTGTTGTCAAAGATAAACCTGACATATAAAGTTGGATATTTCAAAGTTGCCTGTTTTCTGTTTAACCATTTTGTTTTTCCTACTTCTTCAGTTTCAATTCTTACTTTCGACTACTACCTTTAAGATGTTGTTTTGGCTAGACTTTTGGATGAGGCCACAGTCCTGCAAAGATATAATTTTCTCTTCTTTTACATAAGATATTGATTTTTTTTGTCATTCATCGCTTTGAAGAATGCATTTGATCTGCTTGAGAATAATATTCTGATCTCAAACCACTTTCACAAAGCTGATTTATTATCTATACGTGTGCTATTTTCATTTCAAATTGTGACTGCTATTTTGCTTTTCCCATTCTCATATTCCTAACAAGTGACCTCTGAAATTTATTGCCTATATCTTTTCAAAGCGCTTCAGGTATAAATTCACCTCACACTTCCTTGACAGGGGAGAATCGGACCATTGAGTGGGCTATACGACTAACAGTTGCTTTGAACATTGCCAAAGCATTAGATCACTGCAGCAGCGAATGCCGCCCATTGTACCATGACTTAAATGTATATATGGTTCTCTTTGATAAGGTGTTGTCTCAAATTTCCTTTCCCAAACGATAATTAATAAAATAGAGGACCAATTAAGTCTTTGAAAAACAAATTTCTTTGTTCACATTGCTGAGTATTTGGAGCTTGCAACTTTCATTGGTTATTATATTTGATTGAGTTAAACTTGGATTTCTGGATTTTGACTTTTCCATTTGTTTCTCTGTTGCAGAGTTGGCTTCATTTCAGTCCAGTAACTCTCTAAATAGGTCCAATAACTCACTAAATAGGTAAGTTGAGAAGAATTCAGCGTTGCATGCCTTTTTTGGTATGCTATTTAAATCTGTCTGTCATTTTATTCATTCTTCATGTTTAACTTTGTTCTGCAGGCTTCCTATGGCTAACTTAAGCATTTAAGTTATTCATTTGTTAAAGATGTTAGCTATTGTGGAACAGTTTGAAAGTTAATGCATGACTTGAGGATGACTTTTAGCTTATCCCACTTATCTTTCACGCTCTCACTTCATTCATGTGCTGAGTCATGGTTTAACTGTCTAAAACTAAAAATGGCCAGCAGGCTAAAAAGTGATTAGATTTTGAGATGCATATTTTGGTTTCTTATTATTTCTTTGTTTTGTATTTTTCATTTATTAATGTTCTTTATGGCAGCTTATTTGATTGTATTTGTGGTTTCCCGGGGATGAACAAACCCTCTCCCTAAATGTCGATTCTCAGAAGAATCACATTTCTGATGACCTCTGGGAGAGAATGATTAGTTGGAGGTTTAAGCTTTTGATAAGATACAAATTGAAACATTAATTTGTGTTTGTGTGTTTATCTCTATATATATTATATTATACATATGTGTAATCATTTGCTGCTCTACTTAATCATCATATTTTTTTATTTGGGTTTCTGAAGTTCCGGGATGAGTTCGCCGCGACCAAAATTTATGCCTTAGTTCGATTCCAAACTCTCCCAAGCTGCCTTCTTTATAGATCATCAAAGCGGTGCTGAAATTCTGAGGAGGTATATTTAGAATTTTGCTCATTTTTTTTCTTCATTTTCTTATGAAATTTAGGTTTTTCAGTAATGGGTTAGGAATTAATTCTTAATCAATAATAGGTTTTGTAGTTGAGTTGCAAATAGTGTTGAAAGCATTAGATGATCTTAGTTGCGTGAGATTATTCTGTTTCTAATCCACCAAATTCATTTCAAATATAGTGGCGATTCTTGGTTTACCTGAATAAGCCATACTCAGTTGAATGTATATAAAAGTCAAGCTGCTTTTCTTATTGACCTCATTCACTCATGTGTCCCTCTGTACATTCATGACAGTTGGTTCCCGCCACAACGTGCGGGCTTATTATCTAGTGTAATCTAAACTAAACTACAAGAGAGTCGAATTGGGGTATGTCCAAGTTTGCAAAGCTTAAGAATATGAAAAATTCAACTTGCCGCTATTTTTTTTTTTCTCTACGCTCGAGTACGAATTCCCTCTCTGTAATTGTATATGTATTAAATTTTGACAAGAACCACGACATATCATGCAACCGAATTTATGTTTTTCAAGAGAGAGAAACCCTAATCAAGCAAGGACATATCAATTCCTTATGCCATTTTATTGGTCGTCATAAGCTTCATAATTTACACTTTTGACAGCAGTAATTTATTAAAACGAGAAGCAACATTAATTTCAGCGATCTGTAGCTTTCCCCTTGTGGTTGAATTTCGTACCATGCAACACCAATCAAAACCTACAAACCAAAAATGTGGAAGGACAACATTAAACCACTTGAAGGAGTAGATTTTTCTCAACAATGCAGATACGGTCCTGCTCAATTTTCTGTTAAAATTCGAAACTCTGAAAATTAGACATATCTCACATTAATAATTCTAGTATGGTTCAAAATTACAGAGACACAGAACCTACTAAATTGATTGTTTACACCTATTTGGCTCTAATGAGGTTGACTTCTGCTCAAATTTTCTCAGCAGCCAAACAAGGCGCTTATTCTCTATTACTTTCCACACAAGTCACATACGAGAAAGCTTTTAAATTTTCTCAGAAGCCAAACATGACCACAAAGTAAACTTTTCCTTGTAGTGAACTGAATTACCTCCTAAAACCAGCTGGAACTGCCGAATTCTAGCAATTGACTCCACCTTGGCCGGAATTATCCATTTTCTCCTCGAATTCCACCTCATCGCCCTCACTCAGAGCTCCCACTCCCATTTTCCACCCGATCCATCTTCTATTCCCCCTTTCAGAAGCCCTAGCTGCTTCACCGGAATCCGTGCCCGAATTTTCCGGCGGCCGGAAATAAATAGTACGGCGTCGTCTCACGAGGAGTAGGGCGGGGCTCCGAAGGGGAAGACGGAGGGAGGGGGTCGGAGACGGGCGACTCGGGTCGGGCGGGAGAGGGATGGGGAAGGAGAAGCGTGCGAGCATGCGAGGAGGGGGCGCTCACGCTCGGGGGATTGCCACGCGTGCGCGGTGCGAGCGTGTTTGGGGGAATTTGCTGCCACGAACGAGGCGTGTGGGGGTGCACTATGTGTGTGAGGTGAGCGAGTGAAACCATGCGGAACACGTGTGCGTCTCACGGTTTGGGCGTGAGTTGTGGCACGTATCGCACGTGCTGAGAGCGTGGACTTGGGTAGATCAAGGGCACGAGATTTGGGTGTGTCCTGATGTGTGATGTGTGGTGGTGGATCACGTGAACTTTGTGTCTTTGCGCACTTGCACATCCTTTGGAAATATTGCCTGAATTATATTTCTTCTTTGTATTTTAAATACCTTGTACAGTGACAAATAAGTTATTGGGCATTCTTTTAAAGGAAAACTAATGAAAATGGTTTAAAAACTTTGAGTTTTAACAATAAAGACAAAATAAAGAGTAAAGCGAATAGTACCGGATTTGACTTTTTAGTGTAAAAATATGGTTTTTTATTAAAGTGAACAGTACCATAGTTTTTCGTTAAAACTCCCTTCTTTTAATGGTTTTAGTACCTGCGGATTATTAACATTACTTTTTTTGGAGAATTTTGATAAATTCCAAAATTTATTTCGTCATCCCGTAGCGACAACCGTCTTTTTAATTGGTACTGTAGTAGCCCTTTGGTTGGGTATTGCAAGATAGTTGCAACTTCCAAGACACGTCGTGAAAATGAATGTTAAAGACTCTTCCGCTATTTACTTGTCACGAACAATTATAAGTCGTCGATAATAATGTTGGAGGATGAAGACGGATGATTGTCATTTTTGAAAACTAATGTCGTGAAAGTGAATGTTAATGACTCTCTGGTGTTTACTTGTCACGAACAATTATCAATCGTTGATTATAATGTTTGAGGATGAAGACGGATGATTGTCATTTTTGAAAAATAATGTCATGAAAGTGAACAATCATCAGTCGTTGATTATAATGTTTATGGATGAGGACGAACGATGGTCACTTTGAAAAATAAGAGGAAATTGTAGTCTTGATCCCTTAACTAAAAATCCATGACCATTATTCTCTTAATTCATCAAAACAGGTAGCTATGGTCCTTTGCGTCAACTCCGTTAAAATTTTCGTCAAAATGAGTCATGTGTCACACACATGAGGTTGAATGAAGGGGCAAATATAGAAAACCAAATGAAAAAAAATTGTAGCAATGGTCCCTCAATTTTAATCCAATTTGAGAAATGGTTCCTCCACTTTAACCAATTGGAGCAACACGGTTCCTAAACTTTAACTCGCTCGTAGCAATAGTCATTCCAACATGAGTCATTTTGACTTAATTCTGATGGAGTTGACGAAAAGTATTATAGTTGCACGTTTTGATGATTTAAGAGACTAATGTTTATGAATTTTTAGTTAAAGAACCATTGCTACAATTTTCTCGAAAAATAATTTAGAAAATGAATGAAAAATAACTATTTTGAAGTGTTAAGAACAATTATGCTCATCAAATGTTAGAAGAAACTATTATTGATATTCTAAAAATCTAATTTTGCACTCATCACAAGAATATTTTTCTTTTTAATATAAAAAATTTAAAGTGCATTATTAAATTTTTAGAGTGCTAATAATAATTCTCTTGTTAAATATAACGCCTTAAACTGGGAGATATAATAATTAAGTTTTAGGATGATTAGCATTTATCCTTCCCTTTGTTATATGGCATTTTAGGATGGAAGATTATTACTTGTAGATCATGATGTGCTATGGTTATGATTATGAATCTTGTTAGAATTATTTTGTTTTCTTTACATTTCTAAATTGATTTAGGGCTCGTTTGGTTGTGCGATGACTAAAAGTGCTTTTAGAGAAAATATTTTTAGGTTCTAAAAGCACTTTAAGTGTCTTCTATAAGAAGCATTAGTTATGTGCTTCTTCCAGGAAACACTTTAAGTGTTTTTTCAGGATTTACTAGTATCTTTGCTGGATTGTTTCCAAAAATATTTCCACCAAAAAAGCTTTCAGTCATTTTAAAAACACAGCCAAACAAGCTCTTGAGTTTCAATTATGTAAATCGGCTTATCAGCGCATGATTCCTTTTATGAACATTTATAGTCTTGACTCAGTCATGAAATGGTTACACTTAGTTTTTTGCTTTAGTTAATATTTTATTTCCACTTACAAACTTAGGCAAACACACTTTTTACAATGGATTCCAAGTCCTCGTTCCATCGAAGCATAAGAAAAAACTTAATTGAACCATAATCTCACTAGATGTATCTTCGTTTTGGTTAAGTTAGATTTAAGCGCAAACCAACCTTATTCCTAAGTAAACACCAACTATCTACTGTCACGCCTATTTTCTCTTTCTCTTGAGCCATCCAGTGGCAACGAGACCGAAAGCAACACTCAGAGCAAACCATGTGTTGAACCTAGTCAAGCTCTAATTGAGTTTTGACACCAACACCTTGAATGGATTTGTAATCCTCTTTACCTGCTTGGGTTGAGTGCTTTGTAATCTTCCAAGAATCTTTCAATTCTTGATTCATTCAGCTTTTCCTTTTCCATGAGCGCCATATACCCGATATGCTGCAGTTGCCAGTAGCACAAGAAACAAAGAACCCAGGATTCCACCACCTGTAGCCAATCTTTTGCATATATATGTTGCCTTGCCTGTAAGATACAAGATCAGAGTACAGTCACTAATATTCTCATGATAATTGGTTAAATCCAGAGGAGCAACTTTCTGCATTTCTGGACTTTTATTCTAATTCACATGAAATCCGGGACAGGATGAAGTGTTTTCCTTTGTAATTGAGGATCAATAACGTAAGTTCCCAAAAACATACAAAAAAAAAAAAGAAAAGAAAAGAAAAAAAGGATCAATAATGTTATGTTCTGTGTATATCTTTATCCATATAGCATTGTATCATTAGCTATCGTAACAGTGCACCGTTACATTTAAGTCACTCTTTTATTACGCAAGTCAGTCCTACCATTGACCGACTGCCCAACATCATGGGCCTGACTTTAACTTAGCATGACTTTTCCTCTTGAATATTTTTCAATATTGCAGCTTCACGGAGGGTGCTCTAGCCTCTAGCTCACGGCCAATGATTAGATTACTAATTAACATCAATTGGAGGTCCTACCACTTAGAAAGTTGACTTCTTTCTTTAATTGTCATAGTTATGTAGAATTTTCATCTCTTATTCTAATTGCGAACTTACATTCTCATTTCTCCCAAGACTTGAAAAAGTAAACACAAGAATATGACTTTTCTCCTAAAAATTCCACCCCTTATTTCAACTGGGAACTTGCACTCCCATTCCCTTGACGACTTCAAAGTAAACATAAGAATAAGCTTTTCTCCTAAAAATTTCATCCCTTATTCCATTTGCAAACTTGTACACTCATTCCCCTAAAAACTTGAAAGTAAATACAAGAAAATGACTTTTCACCTAAAAATTTCATCTCGCATTCCCATTGCAAACTTGCACTCTCATTCTTCTAAAGACTTGAAAGTAAACACAAGAATATGATTTTTCTCCAAAATTTTAGTCTCTTATTCCAATACGTACTTGCACTCTCATTCTCCTAGAGACTGGTTGAAAGTAAACAGAGGAATATGACTTTTCACCTAAAAATTTCCTCCCTTATTCCGAGAACTTGCACTCACATTCTCTAAAGACTTGAAAGTAAACACTATATGACTTTTCACCTAAAAATTTCATCCCTTATTCCAATTGCGTACGTGCACTCTCATTCCCCCAAAAGACTTGGAAAGTAAACACAATAATATGACTTTCCTCCTAAAATTTTCATCCCTTATTCCAATTGCGAACTTGCGCTGTCATTCCCCTAAAGACTTAAAAGTAAACACACGAATATAACTTCTCCTAAAAATTTCATCCCTTATTCGCTTTACGAACTTGCACTCTCATTCCTTTAAAGACTTCAAAGTAAACACAGAAATATTACTTGGGTGGTGCTATCCATACACTCATTTTTACCTCTACACATCTTATTAATTTATTTATGTCAATTGATTTTTTTCAAATTATTTAATTTAAAAACCGAAAATTGAGAAGGCTATAGCACCACCTTTACCTCTGCACTTCTAATTAATTTATTTATATCATTTGATTTTTTTTCAAATTATTTCATCTAAAAGCCAAAAATTGGGAAGGCTATAGCACCACCCTCGCCTAATAAGTATTGTGTCAATGAGTCCCGCTTAATGAGGTTTTCATGCTTTTTCCTAAATTATTTCAACTTTTTTTTTTTTGGCTTCTAATGAATGTCTCCCTCCAAGATCGTTCTTCGTATTTAGATGCATCAATCAACATCCACATTCTTTTAAATAAATAAATAGTTGATTTGTTCAACGGAAAATGATTTTTCTTTTCTTATTGTTGTCTTTTGACACTCCTTTGGGTAGCTAAAAATAAATAAATCTTTTGACACTATATTAATTTATTCAATTTAATGGTAAAAAAAAAAAAATTAAAAAGTTAAAAACAATAATACATGATATCAATTATTGTTTTTTAGTCTTAATTCAAGTATGTGATAGAGGAGGCTCATCCTTGGTTGTCGTCTCATCTCCAATTTGATGTACTGCTTTGGTGGAATAAAAAGTGTATAAGAGGAACAAAAATGGTGTGCGACAGTCGGAATCTCTTTTCAAAACGTTGAAATTTCTTTTATTTAACTTTTACAACTCATTCTCATTTTTTCTTAAAAACTTAATAAAAAAAGAATAATAATGCTAAGAAGGTTAAATATTTAGATTAAATTTTAGTATTAATTCAATTTACATGTGACAGAGGAAGCTCATCCTTAGTTGTGGCCTCATCTCCAATTTGAGGCACTGTTTTGGTGGAATAAAAGGAGGTAGATTGTCTGCCCTTCCATTTCCATACTCTTCCCATGTCCTTTTGTTTGTATGGTCATGTTTAAGCCACATCAACATTTTATATTCCTATTACTTTTTGTTTTATTATTTCTATAAAAAATTAATATAAAATGTTGACGTGGCTTAACCGTGACCACACATCACAGGAGGGCATGGGAAGAGTATAGAAATGGGAGGGCAGACAATCCACCTCTGGAATAAAAAGTGTAGAAGAGGAACAAAAATGGTGTGTGAAAGTCCCAATCCATTTCCAGATCGTTGAAATTTCTTTTGCTCAACCTTTATTTTTTTTTAATTTGCCACTTAGTACTATGGTATAGTAGTATTTCTTTTCATTGGTGAGTGAACCACTTGTTAGGCCATTGTGAGGCTAACCCACCCCCTTTCCCTTGGACCATCTCCAACCATTGAGTTAAA